GGTGACCGCTCATGTAGACTCTCTCAAGAGGCCCCTAACAGTCCACAGGTGCCTATCTGCCTCCAGTCACACCTCGTTTCCGTGCCGTTTAATGCTGTTCATTCTCTGACAAGTAGCGCAGATTTATGATCGATGCTCCAGAACCCCGCTGTCTATCGACATCGACACGATTTTATAGCATGCGGATGTCGGCTCTCTATGACTCGCCTGAGCTCGGCTAAAATTGTTATTATTGGTATTTTCCTCGCAGGTCGCCTTCGCAGGTCAATACTGCACAGCTTCAATCCTGATGAGACGACAACCGCTCTTACACAGGACTCTCCCCAGCTTCATCCAGCAGGACCCGAGAATTTGGGTGAGCCTAGTTGAAAATTCTGCCTCTCCGAGCTTTCCGGGGAAGACCGACTATTGCTTCCTCGTTCAATTAGATCCCGTCCATGGAGTGAGGTCATGCTCCGCGACGGCCGAGTCACGTGCCGGCGTCCTGGGTCCGATGGGAAGCCTTTTTCCGCAAACAGTATATGTGCATAATTCGTACGCTTGTTACGGATCAGATGATCACGGAGCGGGGCCTCTCAAGATGAAAGCAGTATCGAGTTCTCGGTTGGAAAACACGCTCGAGGTGTGAACTGACCCTCGGAACAGTTCGACAGAGGAGGCGCGGAAACACGCTTCCTCCCTGGATTCGGTCCCATAACAGAATCTTCAGTGAAGCCTCCCGCGAGCCTCCGAACTATCCTCATTTTTGGCAAGTGTTGACGCTTCTCGAATCGAACTATTCCGATTTTACGGAAGGCTGGAGTTGCAGTCTACAGCGATGACTCAAGAATTGTTCTCGGCGGGGAGCTCTCCTCTCTCTGATAAGGTCCGGCCCTGCGCTGCCAACTTTGCTCCAAGACAGGTCAGAGGAGAGCTTCCGTGGATTTCCTAGATCTTAGTCGGAGATGGAGAAAATTTTCTCAGGATTACCGAAGAGTCGAGGCAGTGGCATGTCTGGTGGGAGAGAGATCGGGGGAACCAGGGCACGTGCCTTCGGCGCCAACCCCAAGGAGGCGCTCACGGGAATCCTCTCGAAGCCAGTCAGCCCCGCCCGAGTCTTCTGCTTCGGAACGCTCGAATACCGTGCAGGTCCTCCGTGGGGAATACGCTCTCTCTCTTTCTCACGGCGCGGATTACCCCCGTCGTGTCCAAGTGGTGAAGTCTCTGAAGAGGAAAGCTTCGAGACAGAGGGGTCGCATTTCCGTACTAGTCGCCGAATGGGCTCGGTGCGCCACTGAGTCGAAGACACAGGACGACTTCCTCGATGCGAATCAGCTCGATCCGCTCTTTCCGGAAGCCTTCCGTCTATCCTCCGAGTTGACTCGGGCCGTCGTATGTTCGATTAGTGCCTGATTCCGATCCATACCGAAATGAACGAACACGAGACGCTTTCTGTTTGCCGATAGCCGGAAAGCAATACGCTCTCTTCCGTATGATTCGAATCTCTCCAACTTGCTCCGTCGAGACGCCTGACGATGCCGGTTGGGGGCGGGGAAAGCTGGAGACTGGCGGAAACCCTATACGAAGGAGAAAATTCGTAAAGCGAGAAAATTATTTGCCCCAAGGGACTCTTCGGCGGAGGGAATGTGTCTTATGTCCTGGACCTCGTAGAGAGATCTCCTATTGGATACCGCGTGGGAATATGTCTGCCATCAACTTGCGATTCCTCTATCATTTCTCATCTAGCAAAGAAATGTGAGTCCCGACTCTTATTCTCTTAGATGGAGACTCGATGCCGCATAGGAAAGCCAGTCATTCCCTTAGTGAGCTTAATCAAGAATAATCCCAGGTCTCGCTCACAACTACGCCCGATATTCTTGCTTCCAGTCGTCGGGAAATACGGAATTAGCGCGGATGTTCTAGGATGCAGGGATCAAATCAAAGAACGACCAGCGAGCACCGGCACCGTAATATGTGGGTGGGTAGCTCCGGAATCCTCATTCCAAATACTCTCCTAACTTGTGACCTGATTGGGGAACATCGTGCCCCAAATCGATATATCATATGAGAGTCGAGTAGAGAGGGATCGGCGACAGGAATGAATGCGATCTTTGTTCGTCATCGATATAACCTGAGTAGGGAAGTCGGTGCTATAGGTGTCGATACTCTTAGCGAATCCTGGGAAGGAATCATGGATTTTCTGAAGAATGCCCACTCCCTTCCATTGCAGAGTCGTAATCGGAATCTTGACTGGCCTGCTAATACTGGGCACCGTGGTTGACTATTTTCTGCGGCAACGATACACGAGGCAGGTATCGTAGAGCGAGAACATCAGTGCTCATTGATAATGCGATCAACGGGTCAGATAGCATCTAGCGGTCTGAGATACTGAGCAAAGGTCCTCCTAGCTCGAAATCATTCTCCCGACCGTCCTTCAATATGACATCGTCGGATGAAAAATCGGGCAGACAATTCATTCAGCGGAACTGTATTTTCTGATGCCATCTTATCCTCTCCCTCGCCTCCGAATCCGAGTAATCCGATTCCCGATCTAAGAATGGCTAATTCGGTCCTCAAGGTCTCGTTCGAGTCGCTCGATGTTTTTCGGCCCGCGCAAACTACCTGAGGTTCACCAATACCACCCTGACGCCCGAATCGAGGAGATTAGATTGTTTGCACGGGATTCGAGCCCTGAGCGCACTGTGGATTCTCTACGCCCATGTTTGCCTGAAAGACTGGGGCAATGTGGGTAGGTCACATCGAACGCTTCTCTCGGTCTCCTTCTAATAAAAGCTGCCTCAGAAACTCACTGCTCCCCTCGCTTTCCAGATGGCATCCTGACCCTCCTCTGGATGTTCAAATCCCCATCCGGCGTGATATTGAATCAGTTCGTATTGGCCTTGGAGACATTCTTCACACTTCTCGGCTTTTCATTGTACAGGCTTGTCACCCAAGAGCGGAAGCGAAATAATGCAAGTATTTTCCGGGCGAAATATATCCAATGTACGTAAACGGATTGCGAGCAGTTGTGGGGAACTCAACGACCTCCCTCCTCCAGATGCCTGCATTGAAGCTCGCGTTGAAAGTGATCCTGCGTCGTGCAGTCAGGTACATTGTTACGGGCATGGGAGCCATGGCCGTATTCTATGTTCTGCCTCTCATTACTTCGGGACCAGGCATCGACTATATGTATCCGTACCTTGAGGACTTTTGTAATGCGAGATGGTGGTCGTATCCCATTTTCATAAACAATTTGTGGACAATTCAAGACATCTGCGTCGAGAACCAGTGGTACGTGAGAGCCGATCGTAATGAAAGCCGAGATCCTGAAAAAAGAACTCGCATGATAATTCCGCTCCACCTCGTCCCAGGTACACCGCAGCAGATATGCAGATTGTTTGCATACTCATTCTACCCATCTGTTTGCTAATCCGGGAGCCAGGCAAGGGCATCCGAATCCTTCTATATCTTGTCGGGGGCTCGATGGTGTACGCTGCGAGTCTGACGTATTACTATGGCGCGTCTCCGATATTTTTGCTGCTACCGAACCAAGCAATAGCGGTAAGCACCAGTTCGAAAAACATGGAAGTGTGTGTGTTTCAAACCCTCATCAAGATCGGAATCCTCTCGCTTGTGTTCGGCAAGTAACGCGATGAGTTTCCTTCAGTCATTGCAATTGCTATCCCACCTGCACAACCATAGCCTCGCCCACCTGAGCCCGGCAGCCGTCGGTGTCCTCGGTGGATATCTCATCGACAAATATAGAGAGATCGATCTCGGGAAAACTGTGTACAGAGCCGGTTGGATCTTATACAGTGCTGTCATAATCGCTTTCGGAATGGGTGAGTGATGTCGATATTCATGAATGCGACCAGGTTGAGTGTCGAGTGGCCCTATGTATTCAAGATCTCGACGGGCTGAGAAAAAAATGTAACCGTAGGTTCCTCGTGACGGATAATGAATCTTCGGACAATTCTCAGACCCCGTGAACGGGAGGCTGTTTCATAAATAATAATCGAGGACGCTTGCCTTCTTAGCGTCCTGCATCTGGAATGATCGGGTACGCTCCGTATCGGAGTCGGTACTATACGCAGCTATATTCAGACCGTTGTGGGCTGCGAGCCTTATCTGGTTGATCTACATGTGCTCATGCGGGAGAGCTCGTGAGTTGCTTTTGATGTTTCAAATATGGGGACGTCAGTGGGATGTCGAGTCAATATCGGGAGATCCTAGGGCTCGAGAGAAGCTGAACTATCCGGTCCCCGCCCCGATGGTAATGGGGGATTATCTAATCCAATTTCAAAACATAATTCTGTGAACTCTCATCCTTCTAGGCTTAATCCGCTGGTTTCTGAGCCGTCCGAATTTCATCGTCCTCAGTCGATTATCCTTGAGCTTTTACCTGATGCAGTGGCCGGCCCTGTGGCTTTCCATGTTCTCCACACGGAATCCGTATTCCGCCTCTCATTACCAGCATGTGAGTTAATAACGGAATTCCAGTCTCTATTCCAATGATTGTCTCCATTCCGAAGATAAAAGGAGGGGATCCGAGAGCGAAGCTCTGCACCCGCTCGAGCGACGAGAGCTCGAGCTTCGGAACGGGCTGTAGAGACTCCCTGGGATAGAGTTGAAAGGAGGCGTCAGGGTTTCGGCGAAGAATCTGTGGAGCACCGGAGAGTCGCCCTCACAATAGATCAATCTCCTGGAAGGGTAAAGATCGAGAGAACCTCCGACTACTGCTCCTTGGCACTGACTACGATCAGATTAACGCTCCATGCCATCAGCGTGGTGAATGATGGCCGAGATGCCTGAATATTCTCGCTGAATCTGCGCCACGCCCGCCTCGTACAATCGAGCGAATCGCCGCACTCGCATGGCGTCGTATGATCGAGAACTTCTATAAGGCCTCCCGATCCCTTTACAGCTCCGCGAATTCGTCGCTGATGCGACGTTCAACGTCCTGGGGGCTTGGGTTCTGGTCCTATTATTCGAAGCTCCGACAACAGCTCTGGATTCGTTGGCTCTCCAATCACCGCGGAAGAAACCGACTCTCTCCGAGCAAGGAGAAGATAAATTGAGAGAAGAAGCTGCGGCGAAACTCGAAAACATGCATCCTATTCCATACCGACTCTAACTTTAGGGAATTGAATTTATGAATAAATGAATAAACTGATATCCGCAGCCGCAAGAGAGCTCCATGCTGTCTCTTTGATCCCTTCGACTCTCGGCTGCCCCGCAAGTCATCTGACATCGATTCATCGGACGAACTCGAAATCTGGATTTCAACCGGAAGATATCTCGGATCTCAAGAAGCGATGGAAACTCGCGAAACATGAGTGTTCGAGCAGCTATCGGACGTGAAATGGGGTACATGGGTATGTACTCATTTCTCGCGAGATCGCCGATATTCTGTGCTCCGAACACATTTACGCGATCGACATGACTGATCTCCGCCAGTCGCGATTCGTCGAGTCGGATTTTTTCCTCGGACACGACTCGTGAAAGAACATTTGTGTTTCGATCGATACTCGCGCGGAATCGGTGACATGTGCAGCCCGGAACGTCCCCGACGAGTGCGGTGGGAGTGCTCGGACACTGATCGCCGTTTCGAGACTCGGGAATTTCAGTCCAGATGGGCGACTGACAATTAGTTATCAACATCCACCCGCGCCGATTCGCACACGGAAGCTTTCTAGGAAAGTCGGTATACACTGTGTATAGATTGCCCAGTAGTTTCCGTTTCACAATGAATACGGGCTCATGCTCCACGGCAAGAGCCCAGCAGCTCCAGTGAGCGGACCCTAAATCAGTTTTCGCTCGTCCCCATTCGGGAAACCGAACACCTGAGGAGCAGATGACAAAAGGAGCGTGCTCGGCGGCGGAAGCTCGCTTCGGAACTCTCGAGTCGAGATCAACCTGTTCTGGAACCTTTGAAGATGTGATGCATACAGGATCAATTCCCTGTAGAGCAAAGAAATTCTGACGGTAGCACAACCACGGTCGGGGACCTGCTAGTAGATACTTTAGATCCGATGCCACCGATACTGGTTCCAGGGTCTGAGAACGACCCTGATGAGTCGTAGGAAGCAGGAAGAAGACGCCCTTCAGACGTTTTCCTCAATCATGCAATGCACCCGACAATAATTGTAGAGGCGGAAGATGACTGCAGTATTGGAAACGATGAAGCAAAACGTAGTATGATCTCATCAGCAAATGGGCGAACTTCCAGATGGTGCCTGTATCCTCTCATTCACCACCGGGTGATAAGAGCGTAAAATTTTACAGAGGAAGTCATGCTGTGACTTCCCATGAAGAGCCACCGATTGCTTGCGAGCTGACGCGTCCCCGCCGAACCAACAAGGGCTTAGTTCGAAACCACAAGCATTGTCTTTTCTGAGAGTACCGAGCGTGGCGACAAAAATGGAGCCGTTTTAGCCATACACTGATCAAATCCAGAAGAGACCGCGAAGTTCTCCCGCGCGGAACATACAATTCGAACTTGCACATCCCCAGATATTTTTTATCATGGAGAACCTCTCGAGCCTGTTCGTCTCCGCCCAACCACGGCAATGGCGTATTTCACGGGAGGCGCGATTTTTGGGGGTTTCCGCGATTTTCCCCGTTTCTTGGGTCGATATCACATTAATCCTTATCTTCGTGGAGAAAGCTGGGGAGACGTGCTCGATTTTTTCGAAAAAAAGGAGAACCGTCGCAACTGGACGAGCTCTGATCCTCATTAGGCTTCGGCAAAACCCTGATGTCGCTCGATGTCGGCCACCAGTCGGAAGATATGGCCGAATCACAATTCGCTCCGATCGATGTGCGCTCGTTCCGGAGGGAAACTTTTTCCGCGATTCTGGGGAAAGTCTCGCGACTAAATGCGATTTCGATCGTATATTACCGTCTCCCGCAGAATAAATGATTTTTTACCGTGACTTGACGCGATTTTGGCGATATTTTGCCGCGAAAAATAATTTCCTTCCTTAATCAAGCGTTCTACTGTAGAATCGGTATCGATAGACAGCATAGCCTCATCTTTCGTAAGTCGATCGATGAGGCGCAGGTACCCGAGGTGTACCGAATGTCTTGGATTGCTCCAGTACACAAATCCGGCAAGCGCTCTGATCCGGCGAACGAGAGACCCGTGTCTCTGACCCCGGTCAGCTGCAAGATTCTCGAACGAATCATCTGCCGAGCCATTCTGAATCATGCTGAACTACACGGCTTACTGTCCACCAACCAGTTCGCATACAGATCTGCTCGTTCGACCACCGACTGTCTCTCGACCTTCTTCTTCACCGACGTTTGTCCTCACCTAAGCGACTCGACGCCTGTGGATGTCGTCTACAGTGACTTCAAGAACGCCTTCGAGCGGATGCCACATGGGACTCTCCTGTCCATCCTTCCGGCCAGAGGTGTTGGTGCGAAACTCATACAATGGATCTCCGACTTCCTGCGGCGGAGAACCTTCCGCGTGAAGGTCCATGACGTTCTCTCCTCACCAGGATCCGCTTCAGTGGGATGCCCACAGGGGACTGTGTGCGGAAGCCTTCTCTTCTTGTTGTTCATCGACCAACTCAGACACATTGTTCCTCCGTCGGTGTGCTTCACTATGTATGCCGACGACGTCAAGCTCACCGTCCCGATCAGATCAGAGATCGACTTCGTCACTCTTCAGGCGACTCTCGAGAGCTTCGTCACCTGGTCCGACCTGATGGGTCTGAGCCTCTCCGCTCACAAATGCGGAGTGCTCCATCTTGGTCGCCGAAATCCAAGATATAGGTACCGACTTGGTGACTCTGATCTCGACGTGCTCAATCATTTCAAAGACCTAGGTGTTCGCTTCTCGGAGTCCCTGACGTTTTCTGAACAAGCCGACCATGTCATTCGGAAGGGCTCGATGCTGTGCAACTGGATCCTACGTTCATTCTCCATCCGCCGCCCTGATGGCTTTTTACGTCTCTATCAGAGCCACGTCGTGCCCATTCTCACGTATGCGAGTCAGGTCTGGTTTCCTCACAAGAAAGAGGACATGACCGGTCTGGAACGACTGCAAAGACAATTTCTCCGCCGGGTCGAGTTCAGATGTGGCATGCTGCCTAAATCCCTCTCGCTCCCGTCCGTGAATGACCGAATGGTAGACCTGGACGTCAAGTATCTTCGTCGCCTACTTCGCGAAAAAATTGACCTCTTCGACAGAATATTCGCCCTCGAGCACCGTCGCACAAGACTTGGCTTCAGACTCCGCCCGATCGCCCGCAATAGAACGGAAAAAATCGCCAAGATGTTTCCTTGGAGAGTGTCTCGACTGATGCACTGTACATGCTCGGACTGATCAATATGTACATACTCCCTTAGTCTATGGCCATTGTTCGTCTAGAACAGCGGTTCCCAACCTTTTTGGCTCCGCGGCTCCCTAGCGAACCCAGAATTCCCCCGCGGCTCCCAGGATACCAAGTGCCCACGGGGCTCCCGCGGCTCCTACCTACTCTCCCTTCTTTTTCCTCTAAAAGGACCATTCGCAACTCAACTCACTCATAACTTGCATGTACTTATATTGTTTACAAATATTCCGCCTCCCTCCCGTCAATTTCCCGTTAAAGAGACTGAATGGGAATCTCAGGAGACAAGCAGCTCCTGGCTGGAGGAGGTAGCCTCGCGGGCATACCAGAGCTCTCCAACAAATGAGTCCAATCTCTCTCGACGGAAGAGAAGAGTTGAGCTTCTCGGAGCTCACGGGAAAAAGCTTAGTGGTGTATGAAGTCTTCTCTGCGGGGAGGACACAAGGAAACGAAAGTTGCTCCGTGCGGCGGTGTGAAAGCGAGTGAGTGGTGTTAGCTTCGTTCACTTCTCGATAGAGTTGGGCGGAATAGGTTTGAACCGAATGGCGGGAACACAACCGTGACAGATAGAGTCGATCCGTTTCGGAACCTTCCCTTGGAATTGACAAACCCTTATGGCCCGGACCTACAGCAGGAATTCGTCCGGGTTAGGTTAGGTTCGGCTACCAGGTTCGGCGGCTCCCCCAGAAAAGTCTTAGGTTGGGAACCGCTGGTCTAGAATAAATGAGGTTCACAGTTATAGGGCTGTTATTTTTCGCGGCAAAATATCGCCAAAATCGCGTCAAGTCACGGTAAAAAATCATATATTCCGCGGGAGACGGTAATATACGATCGAAATCGCATTTAGTTCGAAATCGCATCGATCGACAGCATAGGGTAGAAGTTGTACGTTGTACCTTATGTTGTCGATCGATACCGATGCTGACATGGATATCCGTCCACCTCGCCTCTCGAGTATCGATCCCGCCAGTCCCTTGGATGTTCTTGCGGAGGCGCATCCGAACACCTACGAAATTCGCGGAAGATGTCTCAGAGAGCTGGCGGGATGTATTTCAGCCCAGGAGCGGGCAGAGACGCATGAAACAGCTCGGAAACGTCTTCCAATCGTCGGGCCTTTCCCTAAATACTGACCAGAAATTTCATTCGGAGGGAAGAAATTCTGCGCATTATTTATTGGCGTTGAGCTGCCTTCGCGACTATCTAGCGGGCAATCGTGAAAATCGACGAAGGCCGCCACAGTCTGATGGGGAGAGGAGTCTGCCGCTATTACGAGGGAATAGCGTTGCATCATCAGCTCGGTGCATCATCGCTTCGGGAGGATATCGTCTTCGGAGATGAGCGAAAATCACGGCAATTCGTCGCGCAGCTCCGCGACGGCATTTTCGGCGTAGAACTACGCCGTACGGCTCGGTTCGGAAAAAATCGTCACGGAGAGGGGGAAAAACTATTGTTGCGTCGAAATGCCATTCCTCTATCGGAAGACTATCGTATCGGAGCTCACCTCACTGCAATTCACTCTCGTAAAAATTGGGGAGCAAGAGGAACGCTTTTCCCTTTGGAAACGCTCGCGAGACAGACAGACAGACAGACAGACAGACTCGTTGATATACCGTATTTCCCCATGCATTTTCTTTCCCCCTCTTTTCTTCTTTTGCATCAAGTATTTCCCCGGGCATGCCCGATAATTGTTCAGAGCCCCCAGATGGATGCCCGTTAAATGGAAGTGCCCGGTAATTGGAGCATGCCCGTTTGGATTGGATGACCTATCAAGGAACTCAAGAAAAAACGAACTACAAAAAACACAAACTAAGGCTTGCCTGTTTCTTATATTACAAAGGTACCTCACTATGGTTTTATACATATTTCTTCGCTTACGCATCATCTAACAGCTCATCATCTGTGAGCTCGTCTGTGACCGTCTCGTTCGACACCGCGTTTAGGTTGCATTCGTTTCCCGAATTATGACTTTTTCGAGCTTCAGCGAGCTTCTGGCGACCGGCAGGTATTTGTCCATAGGGTTTGAAACAGTGGATCTGGTCATCCTCCGAACCGTCGAAGGCGACAGTGATGCCGCACTGTTTGAATGACCTGACAATCAAGTCCTCGGGCAACTCCCGCCACGAATCCGCAATCCATGACAAGTAGCTTCCCATTGGAGGGGCAGCCACATTTCCCCCACGGGTCAAACGTTTCTCGCCGTGCGCCATCCATCCGCCGTGCGGATCCCGGCTTTGAACGGGGCGTTCCAGGAAACGTCTTGAGGTTGTACAAAGTTCGTTCGGATGGTGCCCGTCTAATAGAGGCTTGGGAGAGTGCCCGGTAATTAGAGCATGCCCGTCTGGAATAAGACCTGTCGAACCATGCTCGGCAAATAGAGCATGCTCGAGAATGAGAGCATGCCCCACTATTAGAGGAAATACGGTATATAGATAGATTAAGGACCTAGAGATTCGGCACAGAGTTTCTCCAATAAGGTCTGAAAACGTATGATGAGATGTTTCTGTGCGGTGAAATTCGCACGACGGCAAGAGTCGTGAGTTCCTCCGATCACTGTTGGATTTGTTGCATTGGTGCTTCTACTACAGAGCTTCGGAGCACTCGGTTGGGAATGCTAATTCTGAGGACGTGCTTCTAGAGAGAGACAAGGATCAAGTTGACCCCAAACCAGGAAGACCAATACTTCCTTCGAATCGCAGCGGGGCTTCTCCGAAGCGCGATTTCCGGTTCAGGGACCGCGGATTGATACCGCGTAGTGCGAGTCACAGAGATCACAAAAGCAAAGATACAAAAATTACAAATATGCAGCGATAGTCATCCACAGTTCGGAAGCAATTTAACTTCTCAGCTCGTGTTCCCATGGGAAGACTCGATTCTGTGCTGGAGCTCTCCAATGGGCGGGAGGCACTCTCAAACACGAATTAAACTCGTAGGTCGTAATACGACACAAAAAGGAATGCGCATATAGCTACACAGCCTGGATGAACAATTATACGTACATATATGGGTCCCGACGATGCAACACTGGTTGATCGTATTTTCACTACACTTCTCCCACTCACAGAATCGGATCTCTTCTCCATCGTGGAGTAAGGCACTTTCGGGATGGCGGAGATCACCCACTAGTACCCTGAGTAGCAGCATCAGTGCAGAAAACCTGCGGGGACTGGATGCCGTAGTGTATCCCGGAGCTAGAATTACCCACCTGGAATTGTCTGGAAGTCGAGGTCCTGAGGCGATTCACCCATCGATTTGCGACTATTTGAATCGCCGCACCTGGGGAGCTATTCCTGCTTCACGGGGAGCCGGAATCACTTTCGCGTTTGTTTCCTCAACAAGTGCCGAAGAGCTTTGTACGCTCAATGACACGCCTCCTTCAGGGCGAGGGAGAGAAGCGAACTTATACGGAGGCATCGCCCTGGAGAACGATCAGAGTGTGAGTGCTCCCGCGGCTTGAAGGCACCGTGGGCTTGGAGAAGAGCTTCCATTAGCCACAGTATCGCTCCTGATCGAGCCGCTCCCAATCGTTTTTTTTGTGGTGATCGCTAGAGCCTTTCTGAGCTCATTCGAGAGGATACCAACGACCGAAACCCGGTCGCCGGGAAGATCTCACGACGGAGTGTATCGGATTACGTTGTGCTCGAGAAATCTAGGGATGTTGGTGCTGAAATCCCTCCTGCTGGTCCTGCTAGGGGCAGAATATTCCCATTGCGCTCGATCTATCGTCGATGTATTCAACCTGGAAGTTGATTATTCAAAATGGAACTCAGATCTGGCGCCCGTCATAGCGAACCTGTCGAAACGCATGCGAAGGGAGTTCTTGCCCATTGCGCAGGAAATCCTCTACGATGATGAGATTCCGGCCGAATGTCTTCAAAGTTTCTTGAGATTGGCCTCGGGACTGAGTGATGGAAAAATGTGGGCACTTAGATGTAAGTACTCGGATGAGCACGGAGACTTTATGGCTTTTCTATGCCGCGCAGTGCAATCGTAATTTTAAAGAGGCCGCTCGCCCGGTCTGGATGGTCATGCGTTGGCTGATCGACATCCGCGGAACGTCCGATTATCGAGGATCCCCGGCGATCTTCATCTCCTGAGGTGAGAAACTATGCTTATGGGTTCGCCTCATTGCAGTTTTGGATTCATCCGGCGGCCTCTTGCCGGGTTCGCTCAAGGGTCGTGTCGCTTCTCTGGGCAGTTACGACCAATGTCTCGAGACTCGAGTTCCTGATAAAGAAGATCCAAAAAAGGTTCGAAACCTAGTTCAGACTTTTCGATTTCCGATCATTCAAGGGCTCGAAAGCAGCAATCGCGATTTTTTTCGCGTGTCCGTGAGACGTTAGGGTGAGAGCTTGCCCAACGAGTCGGATCGTGTTGGTAAGCCCTACGATTCCATAAACGTACAAGGGGATCCTACCTTGAAGACCGCAATCTTCCAAACTTACTTCAAACCCCTTGTTTCCGAAGAGACTCTTAATTTTTTTCGCAGACAATTGAGCACTTGTTATCCAACGATAGTCAATGTCCGTCAATACCTTCGATTCGTGGGTCGGACGTGGCACACTCATTGTGGCTGACAGTAATTCGTTATGACCGAACACCCAGACACCCAGCTAGAGGTATTCGAGTTCAACTTACAGGTCGCTTTCGGGGGTCAATACTGCACAGCGTCAATGGTATTGAGAAAACAGCCGCTCCTACACAGGATTCTACCCAGTCTATTGCGACAGGACCCAGAAACAAGGGTGAGGCTGAAATCTTGATTCTCATCCTCTTTTTTAAGTATTTCGATCCCCATTGCTCGAGACATCCTACTCCCTCTGCGTTGTCGATGTCCGCGGAATAATAAAACTAATTCAATCCGGTCGTCGCGAGTCACGACCCGTCGGCCCGATCGGATCTCTATCTCGCGGTCAGAATAGCCACGCGACCATTGATTCAGATGATCATGAGGCGTGGCCTCTCACTAGCCGTATAGAATGATGAAGTTCTTGAATGAGCTGAACTCTATTACCGAGGCGCGAAAACCGGAATCTCCATCCTCCGATCTATCCGAAAATGTGACAGTCCCGGCGATCGGATACGCTTCAGGCCGTCAATCGGTGGAATAATGGCAGCGACTTGCGGAAGCTTTGGGGACGTCATCATCTCATGATGTTCGTCGACGCCTGCCAAAGAAAACTGAGGTCGTGCATTCACCGATGGCTGGAGCCGCTGTAAAGGTCTTCTCGTATCTTCCCTGGATTTCCCTCCCAAGGGGAAACGCCAGGCAAGCAGCCGAGAGGAAATCTCTTCTCACGATTGCCGATCAACAAATAGCGGAATATTGTATATCCTCGTTGATTTCGGAATAATTTGAAATATGTAGGAATCCGGAAAATTCATGCACTGTCAGTGGCGTACGCGGGATTTTTCTTGGGGGGGAGACAGATCGGGTCTCCGCATGGGGCTGGAATCCAATATGGCGATTCGCCCCCTTTAGCCCCCATGCACTGAGTTCCTCGTACGCTCTTTCTCGTCGCAATCAATGCGAACCTATATTCCACGGGGCGGAAGAGCGAGCTCACGCCCCGACCAAGCTCAGCCAGTTCTTCGCGTCAGACCGTTCACTCCAGGAGCCCAGCTCAGAAGATGTTGAAGTTGCGCAAGTAGCAGACGGGCGGAGAGAGAGCTGGAAGATGAAAAAGTGATCTGTTCTCAGGATCTTTTCGGAAAAGGGAATCTGTCGTATATGACGGATATATTGGAGAACATCCCGATCGGTTACCGGGTCGGGATCTGCCTGCCCTCGACCTGCAACTCCTCTGTCATTACTCATCTTGTGGATAAATGTGAGTCCGGGAAGGAGCTCTCTCCCTCAAACGAGATGCTCCTGATAAGATCCATAGGAAAAGTTCGTTTCTTCGGCGTCCTGCCGTTTTAATTCTTAGTTCACTAGAGCTCCCCATCACGAAGAATCATGTCCATGTTCAGTTTCCATGTCTCCCTCCTTTTGAATCGTTCGAGCAAAATATTCCAATACAAAGAGGATTTTGTATGATAAGAGATGAGGTTTGATGTTTCGGGTCTCAGATATGATTCTCTCCTCTCCAGTCGGCGGAGAATACGGAGTCCACGCGGACATACTAGGATGCCGGGATCAAATCACGGAACGGCCGCTGAGCATCGGTACCCGCATATCTGGGTATTGATCCTAAATCCTAAATATATTTATTCTCGATGCATCCGTCGTTGAGCTTCTACAATCCACTTGATGGAGCATCCTAATTGGGCTAACAATAACAGCTCGAAATGTCCTCAGTTGAATGAAGGCAACTTCGTTCTGACTGAGACATTCCGTATCGGGAGCTCATTAATCACTAGACTTCCCACTTGAGAGGACATGTTCTATTTCTTCCTTCTGTCCGTTTCTCGCAAGCAACCCAAAAACTGACCGCCTCCCAGATTCCAGCTTGCCTACTTTGGATTTGATTGCGTTTATATCGCCGTGAACTTTGATTAAGTGCTTGAGAGTGAAGCACGCCCCATATTCATCTTGGCCGAATTCGTTGACAGCTCATTTCTCAAGTCCATGGTCGATGAGCTAAACCTGTGGAATCAAATGGATACGATCGCGAGTCTCTCATTCCCTGAACAAGCTTCCTCGCAATGGTATCGCTCAGACGTCAGACTAGAGAAAGCTCGGGTCGGGTGAAAACCGGCGGATTATGACGTTGCGGGGCGTTCTGAACGCAGCCTGACTGAAGTCGGTGGGCACTCTCAGCTGAAGAGCCGCACAGGCAAGATGACTTGGAACACGACCGTGTTCCATGTATTTATCTTGCCAAGCTTTCTACCGGACAAAAGTCTTTTTTTTGCAAGAGGAATGTCCTCCTGAATGGGAAGTCTATCAATTGCCCTACAGATTCGGAACGCTAAGGCTGCGCGGAAGGCTCCTCACGAATACTGAATGGCTTCCTTGTCTATTCCCAGTGTTGTCTTCGGATGCATGATCTTCCTCGTCGTAGTGGGAACCACGGTCGACATCTACTGCGGCGACGACCAACGAGGCAGGTATCATTACTCATTACAAGGGCCTGGACTTTCAGGCACTGAAAAACCCGAGAGAAGGCAGGCAAAAAGGCACCGAAAATCGACGGAAAAGGCACTATAAACGAGGAGAAAGGCACTGAAAATCATCGGAAGACATAAGTGATGCTCGGCCAAATGTCGAAATTCTTATCGAATATACCCCTCATATGAGGATTTGAGCATTACAACCAGCGATAGAATGGCATCTCGCATTCCCGGTGGTGAGGCCATGTCGATGATCAGAGGGCTTCATGACGAGAAAAAGAGCGCCCCTCCTTCACGCTGACCAATGAAGCGTATTCGGAACATGAGGGCTCCAGCAAGTCTTCCGACCTTCCAGTTGCGGCGGCCTCGTTGCTTTCGAGATTTTCAATAATTTTTCTGGTACCTATCAAGATTCTGCCGCGATCTCTCGAAAGTCCGTGGGCCGAGACTCATACTCAAATCGCGACGACATGGTGGAGCTCAGTGCAGGACCGAGTTCGTGGCGGAGGCAATTCACGCGCGACAGAGTCTCGGGGATCGATACCATAATACTGAGAAAAGCTTCGGCCCGACACGTATTCGGACTAGAAGAGCAAATGTAGCTTTCTCCGGTTACCAGGTTGAAGTCTTGCCCGAAGAAAACCTGCCAAGCAACATTCGAACTTGACTTCAGGGTGGAAAAGCCAAAATGCCTCGAGAAAACGTAGAAAAGGCAAAATGTCGCCAAAAAACCGGTATAAGGCAAAAAGAGGCACCTATGGCATTCTGCCTGAAGATCCAGGCTCTACTCATTACTCTATGCTCGAACCCCGGTGTTTTCTATTCACTATCCACTGGACACACACGCATCAGACAATACCGAGCAATCTGCATGAAGCCCCTGAGGGCTACCGCTGCGAACACTTCACAATATTTTCTCAGACCGTGATTCATCCCTCTGGACCGTGACCTCGGACCTCTTGGAGTTCCGAGCGGCGCGATGCGGTGAGAGAGGAGCGGTCTGAGCTGATTTCTTAGACGCTCTTCTGGACTTTCACAGGCGTCATCCAAGTCGCTCGATGCTTCTCAGCCCGAGCGAACTACCTAAAACTGACAAGTACCCGCGTGGCGCCTGAATCACGACATGTGGATTGTATACACGGAATTCGAGTTGTGAGCGCCATTTGGATTCTCTACGGCCACTCTTTCCTCAAAGAATTGGGGCTTTGGGGTAGGGAATACGGATCGTCATTCCCGCATTCCTCACGATGATTCGAGCATACCGCGGAGACTCATTGCCCTCGTCGCCTTCCAGAGGGCCTTAAGTTCCTTCTGCTAGTACCCCAGAGCCCTGCAGGTACTATCATCACTCAGGGATTTTTCGCCGTGGAAACCTTCTTCACGCTCACGGGCTTCACCTTGTACAAGTTCATCGCTCAAGAAAGGAAGACGAACAAGGTGGGTACTTTCGGTAGGACGAAACCCAGGAGGTACATATTCAAGAATCCATTTCGATCGAGTTCTCTCTGCAGATGTCCGCACCGATGTTCGCGTCGATGGCGGTTCTACGACGCGGGATCAGGCTAGGGGTAACGGGCATGGGAGCCTTGATGACCATTTATTTGATGCCCCTAATCACTTCGGGGCCGGCTCTCGACTATCTCTATCCGTATATCGAGAAAAATTGTAATTCGAGATGGTGGACGTATCCCCTTTTCATAAACAATTTTTGGAGCATGGAGGAAGCGTGCGCTGAAAATCAGTGGTAGGTTTTGAGAGACCTGCGGTATCATTTCAATGCCCGACATGAGTCCCCGACTTATGGAAGCTCTCCCACGATTTGCGCTTCATTCGCCTCCAAGGTACACTGCTGCAGACATGCAGATTGTTTGCATCCTCATTTTCCCTGTGCTGTTGATGGTTCAAAAGCCAGCGAAAGCCATCCGCATCCTTGTGTGCCTCATCGGCGCCTCTATCTTGTACACATTGGGCCTGATGAGCTACTACGGGGCTGCTCCGGTACTTCTAGTCCTACCCACACATGCAAGCGCGGTAAATAGTTTTTTAGCTGAATGGATATTCGCGATTCTCATCTGGATCCTCTGGAGCTCGGAGCTTGAAGCGACACTATTTTCCCCTCCAAGACGCTGCACTACGTGCTCCATATGCACCATCATGGTTTGCCGCACCTGAGCTCGACATGCGTGGGCGTGCTCGGTGGATATGTGATTGAGAATTACCGAGATGTGGATCTCGGCAAGACCTTCTATAGAATAGGTTGGATCCTCTTCAACTTCATATCCATCTCGCTCGTAGGCGGTGCGTATTCGATCTTCCCGTAGAGCCGAATCCAATCCCAATGGCGAGTCCTCAAAATCATAGAGACTGGATCATTCTTTATGATTGTGAAACATCTCCAGAGTGGAAGATTTCTATCCCACAGTGTCCTACTTATGGCATATGCGGCGTTCCGTCTCGACACTCGAATCCTTCCTGTATGCCGCTCTCTGCAGACCATTGTGGGCCGCGTGCGTCATTTGGCTCGTCTACATGTGCTCATCAGGGAGAGCTCGTAAGTTAATATCTGCGGCCTGCGAATATCATAGCCCAGATTACGAGTCTGAAAACTCTGTCGTCACCGGGGGGATCAGAGAGTTCTGGAGTAATGGACCGGCCAGTCTATGACCGCACTCCAAGGAGCGGAACCCTAATGAATCACTTTCTAAAATGTGAATGCCCACCCCTGTAGGCTCCATCCGATGGCTCTTGAGCCGCCCGAATTTCACCGTCCTCAGTCGATTATCGCTGAGCTTCTACTTGATGCAGTACCCCATGTTCATGTTCTCATTTCTCACGGCGAGGAATCAAACCACCACCACGTATTACCAAGTGGTGAGTTGTCCAGAGGGAACCCGTCCTCGAGATTATCAGGCATCGGTCTGATTCCGCGCGCTCTGGATCCCGGAGATGAACGAACTCGATGACATCACCTCCGGATATTTAGCCTTTCATCCATTGCAGTTCCGGGAATTCTTCGCTGATTTCATCATCATCATCTTAGCGGCTTGGATGCTAGTCCTGTTATTCGAGGCTCCCGCAGCGGCGTTGGATTCGTTAGTGACAAGACGACCGCGGAAGAAGGCGCTCCCAAACGGAAAGGGGGACGAAAAATTGAGCTATGAAACACCAACGAGACTTGAAGTTGTCTCTCAAAGTCAGTATAAGCTCTGAGCGGAAGATGTCGCTCCAAGGGGAAGAGCTTGGTCAGGAAATAAAGCTTTGGAAAGTGGATCCCGAGGCCCTGTTTCTCATTTTGTCCCATAATTCACATGTCTGCCGCGCTCGGACTTCGTCGGAGATGAACTGCGAGATCGTCTCGAGCAGGGAAGGTCTGCGCGAGCTCCTGTAGCATAACTCTCAATTTGAATCGGTCGGGACAGAGAAACGGTCTTTAGTTTACAAGAGAGAAGTCTGAGTTCCGGTGTTTCGCCTCGATATGATCGGAAAATATTATATTATCCGTTGTGTTCCGTGACAAGGAAAAAAACTCGACATGAAGGGGGCGCTTCACCGTCCTCTGCCTGGGCGCAAAATGCGCGAGGTTCGCCACTGCACCGCAACGAGCCGTTCCGCAGCAAAGACTCATTTGAGCCTTGGAGGAGAATCCCATCAGGTTCGGGAACACGGTTTTTTATTGCTGATTCAGTTGAAACATGAATTATTGCTTATCTATTGCGGTCCGTGATCGTCACATGCCTGAGAAGGTCGTGGAGAAGCATTCGAGGATCTTGTTGAACCATTCCCTGACGATTGCGATCATCGAAGCCCAGTTCCAGGAGCATTGCTGAAGTGTTTCTTGTTTAGGCCTGTCTTCGTCTGGAAGATGCCAATCCGATGCTACACCGCAGCGGATTATTATTATTCAGTCATTATGAACTTCAGGATAGATGGCTTTGGGCTGAGCAAATTAGGTATAGTGAGTGATTACAATGCTAAGAGCTGTGATAGCTAAAGGGGAATCGAGTCGTGGAAAAAAAATTCGTGCTTACAGAACTTGTTGAGATCGAGCTCGGTAGATGATTCCTGGGTCATGAAAGGTTTTCGGAATCGGTACTCCGTCGGTCTGAAGTTGAACTTCTCCTGTGTTTCTAACAAGGGCTTCGGCTGAAGCTTGATGTTCTGGCTCATGGAATTCTTCTGCATGTATTCATCCTTCGACGGTATTTGGAATGTCACTTTCGTGCAAGTGGCGAAGCTCAGCGCCATCAGGAAGAACACGAGAGATTTCATGGTGCCGCAGTTACACTCGGAAGCTGACCACTCGAGACTGGATTCTCTGATTTCCGATGAGCATCCGGGGTGGCTTATCTACTCCCTGGGTCGTGATTTTCACCCGACGGGAAAGTGTGCGGGAACACACGTTCCTCGTAAAGTCTCAATGTCATAATTCTCCTAGGTGACGATGTCATCAGCAGTATGACGGAGCTCTGACGGATCTCGATCGGGCAACTTATCACTGGCTGACATAAAGATGACGGCCAGGTGGACGATAAAGATGATGTGATACAGCCGAAGTATCATACCCGAGTTTCCCGAGTCTGCTCCCGCGCCAATGAGTTGATGAGAGAGCTCGCGAAATTCCAGGATTTCCAAGGGGTCCAAGGTTCGAGGGATTCTTACTACCGCGCGCGACTGCTCTGGAGCGTGGAAATCTGTCGAGAGAATGATCCTCGTTTCAAGAGAAGCTTCCGTCGAGATTCTCCTTCAGTACGAATCCTTCAGCACAACGGACTAGCTCCGCTCGTTCTCTGGCTGACTTCCCATCGAGAGATGCTCCAGAACATCTATTCTGAGCAAACTTTGGAGGCGACGAATGAGTTTCCGTAATTTCGCCTCGTGTGCTGTAACGAAACCTTGAAGCGCGCTCAGCCAGAAGGTGTTGATGTCATCAATGCCCTATGCCTCCTCCCAGCTGCGGAGATGGATCACGTGCACTTCGACCGAGAAAGGATTCGCCAGCTCGCATCCATTCGTGAGAACCTTCACCGGAGAGCAAGTCTGAGGATTGAAACTGCATTGTATGTGAAGATCTGACCGATGAGAATGGAAAATTGGTATTCCATTTCTTTCGGAGAGGGCTCCGTCCTTCTGAGAGTGCAAGGCTGTGGATTTCTCAGATCGTGGTTCCTGCTTGCTATCTCTGATTTTCGAACCGACGATCTCAGCTGGACCATGGCTCAGAGGTTCTGATCAGTACACTCTCACTGTGATGTCTCCGGTCGGCTCGAAGTCTGGATTTCAGTCGCCCGTGTCGATCGTAGCCGAGGAGGGGAGTAGGTAGCACCATTGAAGAGCTCATGACGACTCATGACTCATGACTAGGGCTGTAAGAAAGTCGCGGAGGTCGCGGAAGTCGCGGAAACCGCGATTTTTAGCGGTCTCGGTTGATTTCCGCGATAAACGTGAATTTTTCCGCGACTTCCGCGACCTCTATATTCCGAAGGAAAGAGGTGGATTTATGGAGTTTCGTCAATGACAGCCTCATCGCTAAGGTCTTCCAATAACTTCCCTTCGATCAGGGAGCTCTGGCGGAACAGAATCAGCTCGAATCCGTGATCTCCCTTGACCAGGGTGCGGTCTCCAAGCTATACACATATGAGCATGCCGTCTCGCTTCCGATAAGCGCCATTCGAAATCTTCGCTTGCAAATGATTATATCCTCTCCGAAGGAGGCTTACAGCGACAGCCAGCTGCCTACATGCTTCCGTCTGGTGGAATACGTGCCGCGCTCGGTTAGGTTGCCGAAGAAAATGACACCTCAAAACAGGGCAAAACAGTTCGACCCACGAGTTTTCCATGTGTCGGGTGGCCATCTCTTCTGCCGTAGCTGCAACGTTCCAGTAGATTATATGCGCATGAGCTCTTTGTGGGTCCTTGCCCGCATCTTAGCCCGGGCAGCATATTAGGACTCGACTAGACCGCATGAATATCTGGTGACATGTTGTAGCAATGCCTCCTAGTCTCAATCTCACTCTACCGTGACATTTCTGAGCGGTGAAACCGACTCGGTGTTCTGAGGAACCTCTCTTCCGACATTTCCGCGAATTCGCAAGCAATTCGATCGATTTCCGCGATTTTCTGTATTTTCTTCCGCGACCGTCCGCGATTCCGGCCATTTTTTTCCGCGAAAAATTTACACCCCTACTCATGACTCATGGCTCATGACCCGAGACGTTCCCGTGAGTATGGGTTTTTATTTCATGATCACTTCCAGGAGAGGGATCTTTGAGGTCGAGAAACATTTCCGGTCGTCTTGAGGATCGCAGAAAGGTTCTCTTATCTGGGATTCGATTCGAGCGATAGTGAAGGAGGCCGTAGCGTAGCGAAGGGTGGGAGAGGGGCGGTCCGCCCCGGGCATCACTGTTCCGGGGGCATCACAATGCTCGATGGCAATCCCAGAAAGCAAAGTTTTCCTCGAGCTTCGGTCGTAACCAATAATTAATGAGGACTTATATTGACTTCATCGGTATCCAGATCGTGGAATGACAGATTTGGGTTTTTTCGAAAAAAATCTGAGGGGGGCGCATCATATCCAGGTCCCGGCACGGGATTTCAGGAATCCGCCCCGGGCATCATCGAGGCACGCTACGCCGCGCCGCTGCGTCGGGTATTCCAAGACAAGCCGGGATACTGAACCAAGTGCTTCGATCCGAGCGAAATGACCGAGTTCTCAGAGGAGATCGAAGAAATTATTGAGCGTCACAGAGCTCTAACGACACATTTCTTGTCTGACGTCACCCCGGAGATTGTCTGAGGAGGTCTCAATTCTCGATGAAATAAACCGCGGTACTGTCGTAAAAGTTTTCCAGATGTCTCCTCGGTAGCCGGCGAGCATAGAAGTACGCTCTCGAAGCGTGACTCGCTTCAAAAGAAAATCAAGTCTTGATTCGGTATGATCGTTCGCCGGATGTTTTATTGCCGAGAGAGCGCTTACTGGTTCGCGCGATTCAGAACCCGTCAGATCGCCAGCCGAATTCGCTTACATCTGGGTTAATGGTGCACTCGTGGTAAGCGTGCGCCACTTGCCTCTATCGCTTCGCAGGCTTTCGCCGCTTCCACAGAGGTCCGTGCGTCGAGCCTTTGGTTTGAATTCCTCCGCGTCTCTCGGCTTCTTCTATGAATAAATCTGGCTTTTTATAATCCCAAACGCCTCTTCCGGCTCGAATATGTTCGCCGGCGGTAAACGCCGCTAAGCCGTTCGTCTGTCCGAGTCCGCAGAGCTCTGGTGCGCGCGACCTGCACCGAGATGGCGGAGCTTTCCAACATCTATCCCGACAATTATACTGAGCTTTGGTATGGGATTGGCAGGGTCCAGATTTCGCTTATGAAGAAATGCTCTCTTACATGTCGGTAATCCCATGGGAAGATTGACCATCGATCCGTGAGAACCTGGGTGAGCTTGAGTTGGAAAGCTTGGAACCTCTTCAGATGCGAATGTGTGCCCGCGAACGTGTAGAGAGCCTAGCGCTACCGAGTCGCCGTGGAGCGGGGACCGAGAACGCTAGTGAAGAATAAATCTGAACTTCAGAACTTTCCGGTAGAGCCGGAGCTCGATGTTAAGGATATCACGAGGAGACTCTTCAAATCCAACTATCCGCTCTCTACCTTCAGGTGAGGAGCCTTAGGTTTTTTTTAATGGGTATTATGTACATGAGCCCCACGCTCCAGTTGAATTCTCCACTCTTCTGGGTAGTGCGTCGATGCATTTTTTCCTATGGCCTTCTACATTTCACCCCTCCCCCTTTTCGCACTCGCAGCTCCTTTTGAGAATTATAGAGAAAAAAAAATCTAACCCCTCTGTTTGTTGAGTCACGTATCCTCGGAAATATTTACTTCTCTGGACCGACTCCCTTTGAGGGACCCGGGTATAAGGACACTAGATTATCAAAAACCGTTCTCAACTCCCCGGTCCCGGTCGACAATGGGACCTCCCATGCTGTCTGATTCGGCTCGGCCAGAGCGGAGGCGATAGTGGACTCTCGGGATAGGAAGAATATCTAATTTCTCGGCCACGTTCTTATATCCTCGGAGGCTAGCCAGATGCGTTATGAAGGACCTATCCCTATCAGTCTCAGAGGCGATAGCGGGTTGGACAATTTTCAGAGTTCCTAGGACTTCTCGCGTCTTAGCGAAGTCTGCAGTGACTTTTCCGACGATCCATGCCCTTCGTC